AGATTTTCCACTGGTTTCGATTGCACTCCGGATCCCGAATTGTTTCTAGCCATCGGCACTTTCCGTCCTTTGGTCCCCAACGAGGCAGGCATGTGGATCCAACGGCAACAAGATGTGAAATCAACAATTTCATATGCTGACGCCAATTGGACGGCTAACCACCACGCAGTCTCTTCCAGCCAAGCCCCACACAAGCGACGAGGGCGCAACAAGGCAAACGCTCAGCGGACATACGCAAAACGTGACCGAGTCATCTTACCTAATGCAGCAAGGCCAGCTTGTTGAGGAACATACTCGCATCCCCTAAGACACGATGCCGGACTTCACCATTGGAAATACGTTGCTGCCACCGCACACTAACAATCCTCTTCAAGCATCCATTGTCAATAGCCGAGAGCCGGTACATGTCATCCACGCGAACTGGCCACGACTCACTTTTATATAGCAACACCGCCCGAACGGTGGAATTAACGATTTCATTTGCTGTCCCCAGTAGACGGCTGACCACAACGTACTCTACTCCATCCGAGTCCTGCACGAAAGAAATGGGCGCAGTGGGACGAACGCTCAGCTGACACTTGCAAGACGAGAACTGGCGAGTGCAAAGCCCTGAGCAGCACTTTACACTTCGACGTGGCAAAGTACATTTCTTACCTAGGTGCCTCAATCGCCCAACGGTTTACATATTTTGCGAGTCTCCATCAAGTAAGGCGATGTCATCGGCATAATCTAAGTTGGTCACTCGCTTGCCTGATAATAGCTGCAGACCAAAATGTTGCTACCCACCCAGAGCTCTCAACAGGATGTCTTCAATCACGAGATTGAAGTGAAACGGAGACATAGGGTGCTCCAGTCGTACACCGCTATTAACAGCGAAGGACGTAGAAAACTTGCCATAAACCCTCACTCTGCCTGAGACATGAAGGTAGAGTTCACACAGGATGACAGTGTACTTTTCCGAGACCGTTCTTTGGCAAGCAAGGGCATAGCGCTGGTGCCTCACACGAGTGTTTGCTGAATCCTAATCGATTACGTTGGCAAAGCCATCTCCTATGTATGCCCCTTGATCGGTTTCCTCGGCATACATTATGCGCTGTGGCTGCACCAACTTGGGTGAAACCGCGAGGTAGCCAGTCCATGACGTGGCATCGACACATGAAGAAATTGACTGAGGGCCTCTGGATGGTGCACACCAATTGTCAGCGACCGTATCTGCTATGGTACAGTCACGCAGTTAGTGGCGCTCTTGCATTCGATTTCTTGCATCTGGTTATTAAGTTTCATTCTATTCTGGTTAGTTTTACGCACTTCCCTTTTGGTTTCATTTTCTTTCGCCTTTAACTCCATTATCTTGCCGTTTTTACTTATTGTTATTCTTTTGGTGAGTTGTGGCAGCTGGATTCACTGCACTGGGTCTCAGATCATACTTGTTCAAGGGAACTGAGCTAAAATATTCATGTCAATAACTGATTCACATCAACAAGAATACACCTTTTCTTCATGCGAGGTTTAGGGAAATAATGAGGTAAGCTGGCTGATGGTAACTGCGCCGGAGGAGGTCCGTCTGAGCCCGCAACCTTGAATTGTTTCGGGTGTCGAATCGCAAAGCACTTCCGCCTCACTGGTTGGAACTAGTGTGACGACATAGGGTGGGCAGCTGGGTTCGCAGGGCCTACAGGTAGACGATGTGGTCCAATTAAACTGAGAGCTTCTATGTTCTGCTCATCAATCTAAACATCTCTGCAGGTTAGCAATTGGCGACCATCCGCTTCCAAACGCTGTCACTGACATCACGCTTCCTGTGTCCAGGGGATCGAATGAGCTGGAAGAGTTTTACCAGCAGAGCAGCGGCCTGCATTTCCGAAGCACGATAAGAACACAAGGCTTCGCGGTCACTGAATACACTTTGTTTCCCCTGCCGACTGACAACACGACGCACTTCATTATGCTTAGACTCCGCTGGAATATTTCTGTAGTGGTCAAATAGATCCAGTGAGCGCCTGAAAATCCAGACCTTCATAGGGTGCTGAGTATGACCACAGACTGACTGTCCGGCAGCCATACTGGTCTCCTGCATGAGCGTCCAGTGTGAATCAATGTTTTGTTTTGCGTGGCAGCTGAGTGCATCGGCCAAGGATGATTGATATCTTTGCTGAGCCTAATCAGTAAATAATTTATTTGGATCTACCTTACAGTGCTTTGTTTTTGAGGACCTTCCGAAACTCATGCTAATGTTCGCACATACAAGAGCATGATCTGCTTGAAGAAATGTGACCAGATTTATCTACAATCCTTCACCCTACATCGCTATCTGAAGGTGATTGCGACATGTTAACTCTGAGACCATGATTGTGTCGTCGAAGGTGGACACCAGGCGGCGGAACGTCTCCTCGAATGCATGAAGCTGATTCTCGAGAGAAACAGACGATTGTCTTCCAAAAGTGTGCGAAGTCTCTCCATTATCTAAGCGGCTCTCATCGAGCGCATAGTGCTCACTTGGATGACTTTTATGCGCTAATAGGCGACCAACCTGTGCGCTTTCTTAGCAAGAACAACAATATCGCATTTACAACGTTTGCTCAAGAGATGGTCAAGTTCACGATAAAATCTTCCTTGACAAAGTCACAACTGCGGTCGGTCGGAGCGCACGCTGAGGTCACAAACAAATTGCTTGGTCCCCGAAGCCCGACTGCACATCGTCGACTATTAATCTGGAACCAGTCCAGTAGATTGGCCTGGGTTTTGCTACTAACGCCAGTCAAATCTGCCGCAGCTGATTCTGTGTCACCATATTGACGCATGTAAAATATGCCTCCCTGGCCGGTGGGAGATCTCAAAATCGCAGTACTGGGATATTGCAAGCAGGTTTCAGAAAGACAGCACACATCAATAGTGAGCATATATTACAGGAGTAGGTTATCATAAAATAGACCTTCTTGATAGTGGTACTATGTACTATTTTGCCACGGCTTTTGCATGACATTTTTATTCTGAAAATTTCATGTCGCCTGAGTAGCCAGGAGTCCCTTACTCACGTGTTGTGCGACCCAGAGATAGTGATTCGCCATCAGGGCATGGCGGTTACTATCCTGCTTGTACATGACACTACATTTATCAGTAGGGAACGGCACTTTCCACGTGATGCACCATTTTCAGTAAGGTGAGTTGTGGTCGACTATCATTGGTCGTGATGAGATTAAAGGAGTAAACAGTTTTATCTCATCGGCAAAAAGATAACGTGTTACAGTTAACTAACTTTAACCCGCATGCACATTAAGAACGCCAGTGGATTCTGAACATTGTATGCTATAACCCCACGGCGTACGACCACAAGATTACGAGCTAAACAAAGACTGTGCCTCCGAAGTTTTGCTAGCCGACAGTTGACTTAATCAGTCGAGGCAGATAATACTTGTAGACAAGTATCTCATTTGGCAAGTGATGACGACCTGGTGTTTAAAAAGCCAAGTGGTAAGTTGTTTATTAGGCCTCGATCAAGGCGGCGTCGGATATCAGCATATCAAGTACATCGTACATGCGCCACTGTATTTTATCTCTCGCCTGTTCCCATTGTTGCTTGTGCATCATCTCGTATCTGATGAGGCCACTGATCGCTTAGACACTTCTGCCGGATGACCTTTCGAATTTGACCCATCTGTCTTGATCCTACTGCGTTCTTCGGATGTATTTGGACTGAAAATCGGCGTCATTTATTTGCCTGCACTTCACCTCCTTCTGTAACTCCTTAGGTCGGCTACCGGATAGCTTATGTGCACCACCCCGTTGTATGTTGCTCCTGGGATCGGTCATCTCAGATGTGTGACGCAGTCTGTAGGCCCATGGTAGCCTTGCTTTCTATCCTGGACTTCTTCCGCAGTATGCTAAGGCACCAGCAGTTTACCGGCACTCTGTACGGACGCTTCGGTATCGTGCAATCGCCATTTGTGACGCCACTAAACGATGCAGGAGCAGGTGTAGTCAGCCAAGTACCCTGATCACTTTGCCACAGATCCCCCTCAAAGGACTATTTCATCTTCCCACTTATTCACAATCCTCCAAATCCTTGTTTTCTCATTCGCCGTTTTCCTCATTATTTTCTCTCATCCTAGTTATTTTTATTGCGGCAGGGTCCATTGGCAACTTGATTCTTTCTCTTCGATAGCATGTTCACAATCAGCCTGTCCGGCGACCGGTCAGTTGTTAAATTCAATGATCGGACTCTTCATCCGCCTCACGTAATCCCTTCAATACACTTACAATTTGTATTCTATGGACTGACATTTTGTGGCTGTGCTGTGTTCATGAAGCAGCCAACCGGCAAAGGGAGCGCGCTGCGGCTACTAAGGACACCTAGAGGTTTGTTTAACCAATAAAATACTATTGGCCACGTTCCTCTCTGACCGTTAGTTGTCTTGCCCACAGTAGCTTCAAGACGTTCCTTCTGCTGGTTGGTACGTTATTTCATAATTTCGGTTTCTTTTTCTACAATGTGGTATAGTGCGGTCCCCCTTGGATTTTTGTTCTCTGCACCGAAAATTTCTTAGGTGACTTAGATCGATGATGTTGTTGTTATATCGTCCCTTCTAGGTGGAGCACACTGTGGTTGCTATAGTTTTTCCCTATATTTCGACCGTTTTAATCCGTAGTGCCGTTCGCAAGACATTTCAACTCATCCGTGACACGCAAAACTCGCTAAGCTTATCCAGGTTCGTTCAATGCGCGATTGCCGAGCTACCAATTTTGTCTTCAACTCATGCAGCGCGAATAATTCTCACTTGGCTTCTCGTTATTTGCCTAATGTTTGTACGCGTTTCAAGTGAACTAGACTTCAGGTCTAGTATTAATGATGCCACTGACTCCATCGACACGAACCTGTAAGTCACTGACTAAGTGCCCGGCTCTCACTGACACTCGTTTTGAGACTTTGTCTTATTCAGGTTATATTTTATAGCCTGCTTGTCACTGCATCGTTCTCATCAAATGATCTTCCATTTACTCAGGAAGCAAAACTGAACCGCATTCTTCTCTCTCAGTTGCCTTACTTGGCCGAGCTAAACATGCTATTAAGCCGGTGAGTAGTTGCTTTCATCTAGTATTTCACGTTCTGTTGTCACCGTTGTTCATTCATACCATAAGTACTGTCTATCGATGTGATTAGCATCACATACTCTTCACGTGGCTGTTGCAGATCGTTCTATCCCTCCCCCATGCCCAGTGGGCTATCTTACTCTTGTTATACCTATTATTCCTAGAATACTCTGCGTTCAGGCATACATCTCGTATTATGCCGAGCAGTGGCCTTCCCTTTTCGAAGTGGATGGACATTTGAGCTCCCCTTTCGAGGCCGTTCCAAGCTGGCCTACTTCTTTGCCCTCCCACTATGCTCCATGTCTCCTTACCTGGGCTGTGGAAATGCTCCAATCACCAACGAACTCCAAGAGTCATTCCACCCATCCCTACGTTCACTTGGCCGGCGTTAATGATCTGGCAACTACTTTGGCCGGAATGCTCCTCACTGCGTTACACACTCAACACACGACTGCTGACATAGAAAATCCAACCACTTTGCTTCAGTGGTGGCGTAGCGATATCTCTGAATTGGATCGCCCATCGTGTGCTATGTCTGCGATTGGCACAGACCCTCTTGTTGGGAATGCAGGTAAGTAGAACATAGCATTCTACGGGCACCTGAGATGATACATTTCCGCTTACTGTTCGGTGTCACTGTTGCCATGACTGACTCCCTCTATCGGTTTGTACTACTATTTTTGTACCCATTTGCTTCTGAATGCCACCTTTACTTCTTTTTCCTGTGGTTTCTTTCTCTTCTGCGTCATCTTTGTCTGAATTGACGCATTACTTGTTCCTCTGCTGCACTAAAACGTCTCTCTATCAAGGTATCTGTCTCTCTCTCTTCACAGGGGATTTACGTTGCTTTGCAACTGCTTTGTGTTCACGTCCAGGGGCGGTGCTTTTGCTTCAGTTAGGTGTAGTGTTTGATAGCTTCGGGTTCGTCTCGCCAGCACTAGAAGTCCCTACTCGTTTGAGGAGGTTACACGGGCTTAACATTTGCGTTAGTGTCGGCCGTTGGTCTAGTGGTCTGCTTACCTGGTTTGCAACCATAAGGTCCCCTGTTCGAATCCCCGTAGGGGTGGGCGTCCTCGCGGTATACTCAGCCCGCGCGCAACTGTTAGTGGTCACACAGCAGCGGAGCGCCGTTACGGCTTACAGCTGACACACAATAATAATAGTAATAATAATAATAATTGCTGTTATTGAGCCCACGGATTCCCTGTATGCATCGTAACACCAACGTTTTTCAGGTGTTCTTTGGTTGGCAAACTAATTGGTTCCTAGAGTCTCACCCAAGCGCATAGATGACACGTAGCGACCCGCTAGTTTCTTACCTATCCTAAACTGCACAATTTATGTCAACGACGTGTTTCCGTATCACAACACTAACATACCTGCACGTTATCCAAACTGATCTGCCGTCAAGCCTATGCAATTGTGGTAGCCATCGTCAACACAGGCGGCGATTGGTTTTCCACACTTCTGTGCACTGATCACACAATCGTGTAGGCTTTTGTGGCCATATAATAGACATACTAATTCACCTTCGCGTCTTATCATCACTGTTCGCTTCTTCTCTGGACTAAACTCGAACGTCTGGCCTTTCGTGAATATGAGACGATCAATTCCTGAACATGTATAATCTAATTGCCGACACCTTGACGATCCGCGGTTTGATTGGCTACCGCATGCTGCATATATCGGTTGATACAATTTCCAAACGATACATGTGGCATCCGTCAAAGTAATCTAACATATCAACACATTCGTTGCCTACTGCTTGTGATTGATACAAAAGTCCAGGTTTTGGACAACCCTTGATAGGTAAACATTAATCTAACCTTCTGTCAGATGCCTTTATTGTCAGTGTCACCACTTGGAGATTCCTATCATTACTAAACTATCAGACTGTAGTCAATGGTCGAGGTTACACTGCGCATGGCAAACGCTAACAATGCCCCACGGGAACTACAATTTACTTCCTTGTGATCCGGCTTCACGGGTTTCCTAGCAATGACCTCGTGTTCCATGTGTCATGTTCTGCTATGCTTAACAGTTTTGACTCTAATTATGGTCCTTAAACTTTCCCAACGCAATTCTTTAGCGGACTCTCATCTAGCCCAGTGATTGTTTAGTAACCTCATGTTTAGATGTACCTCGGGTATATCATATTTATTCTCCTTCCGCTACATGGGCGATTCTTTCTTCAACTGTAAACAAACTAAAAAATCTCTACTCCGCATATTGTTCCAGTGTTCCTAAGGGTCCGGGTTTACTTCAACGTAAACCATGATCTCCCTTCTATGTAGCAATTAGGATCAGTTAGCCTTACCATTCTTGGATCAAACCTATGCCTTTGTTGATACAAAGCACAGTTGTTTGCTATAGATTCACTTCTGTTTCTGAGGCACGTTTCCTGGTTACTCAGTTCTACTTCGCTGACTCTAACTCACCACTTGAAATTTTGTTTGTTTACTCAACGAACTATTTCACTCTGGACACCCGCATACAATCACCATTGTTTATCAGCATATTATCAGACCAGCTCATGTGCAATATTCATGCGCAACCCACCAGCCTGTGACTTGCGCATTAGAAATTCTCTAATTAACTCATCACGCCTACTCATGCTTGTATCTCGCAAATCATGAATAACGTTTCTTGTTTCCTTTTATTTTTTTATTACTCCGTTGCTCACTTGCAAACTCATCCAATCTGTCCCCCTCCCACACGGTCCTGCTTCCATTCAGTCTGTAGCGTTAACTTGTAGTCACCTGTGGTACTTTGAGTACTTTCCTTGATAGAGGACTCGATTATTGTCTACTTTCATTTCCCCTTTTCGTCACAGGTGATCCAACGCCTATCACTGACTCCAACGATGCTGCTCATCCGGATTCAAAGGAACCCTTCTCGTTTGCTTTCGTACACACATTGAAAATGGCTGGTAGCATTCGAACAGTCGGCGAAGCATTCAGCTCATCCACTTCCCCTGAATCTCCCAACCTGTCCTCAGTCTACCTTGGCTCACCGCACAATTTGGCTTTTATGTATCTTAGCCACGTGGACCAATTCACTTCCGCCACTCATCTTCCCTTTTCTCAACGACTTGACTCCCTACCGCCAGGCTTTTCCAGCCTGCTTCAATTCATGCTTGGTCGCTCCTGTGCAAACCCACCTCCGAATTGCACACCCCATGTGTACAGCCTCATGGGTACGTTTCAACATTTCCCAGTCCCTTTTCCAAATCTACCCCTAGAGCAACCCTTCCAGGTATTTGGTTTGCTCCATCATTTGTCCCATCGCCTCGCTTCATCTCAGCCTCCAGAAAGATGAATTATTTACTTCCTTGTTTCTACACCTCATCTAAAGTTCGTTCCACAACATACAATCTCAAATAAACGTCCGAATTTGTCAACAAAATACCGGATTTGAACGCCGGAAGGAAATACATGGTCTTCTTTAATGTGTGTTCATTATTCACCAGTGTTCCTTTAGAAGATACTCTGGAAATGATAGGCGCACATGCGGACACAATTGGGTTTCCAGCTCACAATCTGAAGTCACTATTACGTCTGTGCACGAAGGATGTCCCATTATGATTCGACAGCACTCTTTATCGACAGATTGACGGTGTAGCCGTGGGCAGTCCATTTGGGCCTATGTTGGCCGATCTCTTCACGTGCCACCTGGAAAACACTAAGCTGCGGCCACATACCTCTTTACGGAATGCCAGCCAGCATCAGTTGAACTTTGACCGTTTTCGCTTTACCAATGACGTTGCACCTTGAATGTCTCTGTGTGCAACCTAGCCATTCCACTAATTGTATGTAAACGACTAATGAGAATACGCGAAATAGCTAAATTCAGATTATCATGTCAAAATTTTGGAATTCAGTAGCGTTGATTCGCATCACCAAACTAGTGGCATTCGTAAAATGACTGTGGGAGAGTTAAAATCGCCAAAAGTGATATTTAAGAATTATAACTGAGGAACGAAACTTATGAGAGTCACCAACCTCATGACTGTTCCACATCCGCTTGTGTGTATAACTGCTGATATGGCCGAATCTAACCTCCCTATCGATGAAGTTGGCAGACACCGGTTGCTTCACTTATATCCTTTTGCCGTCGCTGACCAGCGACTTCGAAATAGTGGTGGGCGATACAAACCGGACATTGGATTTGCTGACACACATTAATGGGATGGAATCAAATCCCAGCCATCACTTTTCCCACACACTCTTTGATGGTGTTGGATGCTAACCATTTTCTGTGTTGGATAGCTTCACGTTATAATAAAATGGGATTCTTTATGTATTCTACTGTTGTTCCCACCTATCTTTCCCCTTTGATCATATTATCCGGTTTGAATTAGTTCTACGATATAGTCTTTTTTGTGTTTCCGCTGACGGTACGAATTACCGATACATTCGTTTCGAGTCCTGAACCGGACACTTTCCATCTCAGAAGCTAGGCCCTTTAGTTACAGCGTCATTCGGAATCAGAATTACTTATTATATAACTGAACAGAAGTGACCTTGAGGTAGATGGTTCTACCGGAAAGTATCCGAGGTTTATAAACGCTCCCTTTTACAGCCTCCAAGCCAACAATACTATCAATGTCTAATTCCAAACCGAAATTGATCACATTGGCCGATAGCTGGCCAATTCACCGAGCTGGGTTGGCTCAATCTTCTACTGACGCCACCGGCATGGAAACGGACTTGATGGGATTCCATCATTGGGTTCTCTTAACTTGTTTCCATGCCCGTAACCTGGCCCGCGTAGTTTGTTCCACATGCTCTTGCCCGTGGGCGACCCTCATCTCTCCTCCTATTGGCACTTTTGACAATACTTTGGTCACTAGTAGAGTACACAGGTTAAGCTGTGGTGCGTTTATTTCGCGGAGCCTAACGAGATGCAGAGCCCGTTTTCTCCCGTACCACCTCTGCTTCGGTTCTGGTTGAGATGCATATTGCCCACTGGGTTTCCATCTTTGCTAGTCTCCCCCACTTGTACCAGCGCTTTGCATGCTTTGAATTTGTTTCTCTGCTTTTTGGCTTTCCTCCCCTCCCTACCGCCTATGTGAACTCATCAACTAATCTGATCCTTCGAGTGTTGTTTCAGCGTATTCTTTCTTACTTACTTTGATTTTGTATGGTTTTTCAGGCCGAGAAGATCTTGCCCGTCACGCTGAAATACTGCCCATTGATCAGTGCATGATCTTTGAATCATCCGATGGAGCGTCGAGTGAACCTTTATCAGCTTGCGACAGGAGTCGGCGAAATGGTATGATTCCAGTCATCCCGATGTCCTTCAGGCCTCCTAGTCAGCGATGCTTTACTCAGTCTTCTTGGTCTGTGGCGGAACGATGGACCAATTCTATACGCGGTTTCCGTGATCCTGAGGTCTACATCGGCGAACACCAGTCACGTGGTCTGTTGCCTACTAGACACATCTTTTTGCACCAACTCGAAAATAATCCGGCTTTTCAAGTGTACTTCAAGGTCAGTTTGCCGTTGACCATTCTATCCCTATTGTTATTCCTTGATCATAACTACTTCTGTACTTTCTGTAATCCCCCACTTGCCGTATTCATTGCATCTTATTGCTCTTTTTGTGCTCTGATACTTACCTTGTAGGACGACTTGCGTCTCCGCGAGGCATACCGCCTTCTTCAAGCCACCAGCCACATCCGCCTGCCCCGTTTAAACTCTATAAATCCCGAAACGGATCCAGACTCTGGCCGAGGTTCACGTTTCGTGGAATGTCGTTTGGAGATGCACTTGGCTGCTGCTGGGATCCGTGTTTGGGCATCCTCTATCGGACGAGGCATGCTCGGTCTGGCCACTCTTCTCGGTGCTCGGGTGCCTACACAATTACGCGTACCACCAATCTGTCTACGTGGATGCGCCGCGTCACCTGGCAACGGTCAACGTGTTCTGGTTGATCTTGCTCGAGAGTCTTTGCCCTCGCCGATCGGTACCACCACTGCCACTGGCGCAGCGGCGAACACTGCTGGTACAGGAGCAACTGCTGCAGCTGGCGCCATGGGAATCGGGGCGGGCCGGGTTGCAGCAGGTGCGATTGACGTCGCCGGTGCTCTCATTGCTGACACAGGTGTTGGTGATAGACGTATTCCCGTTGCAACTTCTATGGGCGCTGATTTGAACGCCATAGGAACGGCCGATGCTTCGAATCACCCAGGCAACGCAATGGCTTTGGCGATCGCCTCTGCGGTGGCCGTCAGTGGTGCAGGTGCCGCTCTGAAAGTATGTTTTCTCTGTGTATCGCGATACGTTTATATCTTCACAGTTCGTTCGCATACTAAACAACTTCTCTCTAGTGATCAATCGGTACTACTTTCTACAGCTTAGTGCTTACCGGCTGTTCCTCATCCGCATCCTCCCTTCACTGTCCGGACGTTCGTTTTGCTTTGTCGAGCAATCACACACTCTCTCCGTTGTATTCACCGATACGTCACAATTCAATGATCATGCATCAGTACCTCGGGTTTCTTACCACCGTTCAAACCCTGCGTTGCCCCTTTCATTCGATCTTACAACTGAACCTCGAGGATCTGTACAGATCACTCGGGGCTGCAATTCCAGCGGCATTAGTGCCGAAGTAGACTTTGATGCCGGTTATCTTTCATTTTGCATATGATGATTTACTCGGATACCACTTGAAATTTCCTCCATAAATTATCATCAGAAGGTCTGTTTTATCAAAGCAGTGGGAAGACAAAACATTTCGGTCGTTGTCATCAGTCGCAAACACAATACAAGCAGAACATACACAATTATACACATGGGAAAATTAACAACACTAATCGAAATATTGTATGACCGTTTGTGATCGTCCCACTGGCGTGTTTTCTCCATCATACGAACGTTACAACACAATTTCGGTTGTACTCTACTATGAGCTGTATTGAGGGTCACTGTATGCGATGCTGATAACAGCGATGATGAATCAACATTATTAATAATGTACTCCGACTGTAACTTTGTTCGTTCTTTTGTGTGCATGTTGGGACGAAATCGTTCTTTTGCCGACTGGTAGTTACTCACCAAACACTCGGTTTTCTAGTCTGCCTAGAGTTGTCACTTGTATTGCATCTGTGGTTTCTTTTCTTCCCTTTTGTTTTACCCAGTCTGTCGCTCTAGATCTTCCTCGTATGGTTCGTTCTGGAAAGGTTCTCGCTCAGGTGCTTGGTATGACTTCCGCGACGTCCGTGACCTTGACTTCCGGTCTGCTCTCGACCACTAATCTCCCTCAAACCCCCACCGTCTTAGCTGCGAAACATTGGCCCGAATTTCACAATGGTGTCGCAGTCGGTTTAACTGTTGCTCCCAACGCTTCTGTGAGTAGTCTGTTTAGACATCGTGCTACAGAGCCTCCACAGAAGGGATTATTGATGTATTTCCTATTTATTGCAACATACTTGAAGTCCACCGTTGCACCACATTTCGTACGGACGGTGGTTATGTTTCTGCTTTTACCGCAGCCGAGCGGAGCTTCAATGTACCGCTTCTTTGCGTACAGCGTAGTCGATGATGATCACTCACCCCCACTGGGATTGCTTTCTTCTGTCAACCCCTGCTGGTCATTAGTATGTACGGGATTCACACCACTATGACATCAGTACTCCCATTGAAGTTGTCTAACGGTATCACGGACGGCATTCCTAGCCCCACCTTGTGTACCTCCTTTATTATCGCCGTCCATTCTATTACTATTGTGTACCAAAAACCCACAAGTTTCAAGCGTTTTCGCACACTACATCTGCGGTCTTCGGGTGCTAGCATGATCAGCTACTGCTGTCATTCGAGTTTATTTGGCAATGCTTATGGTGTTGTCTATCTCTGAAGCAATGGTGTTCCCAACTCTTATACCACTGGCTTTTGGGACAGTGTGACGCTCTCTCTGTGTCGTGATCTTTCGAATCTCTTTTGACATGTGAATCGGGACGAGATTACCACCAGTAGTGTATCCCGTTTTTGAAGCACCATGTTGTGCGGTTTGATTTCATTCATAAACCACAGCAAGCGCTTACGATAAATCAGATTGAACGGTTCCATTGAATTGTGCTCAGCTGGTGTACTCCTGCAAGTTCCTTTCTGCTTGACGTGTTGTTTTTAAGTTTCTCGCGTACCTTCATTAACGTACCTACTAGTTTGCCCTCATGGTTCTTTCGTTTTCACTCACTCAAAGGAACTTCTTGTTCACATCCATCCCATCTAATCGTTTCATTTGGAAACACCACCCTTTCTTCTCCGCGTTGACAGTTTATCTACCTTCCATCTTATTCAGGGAAGCTTAAGATTCCTGTTATAGTGACGGAAAACACCAGTTACACGAATGCCTAACATGTGCGCGCACTCAAACATGCGCATTACTTATTCCCTTCGCATCAACTTTTCGCTCTGCATAATTCACATGGTTTCGTTACACAATCTTATTCTTTCATTGTTTATTTCCGAATCCACATGTCTAGATACTCTTTCACTAAATCTCTATCGTGATTTCTCCCGTAATCCTTTTTATAAACAATACCAAATTTATCTCCTCGTCAGCCATGTGCTTATATCATAGTACTTACGTGTGTTCCACAGCAATTGGTCTACAGCGCAATGATTGCATACTTGTGTTCATTTCTCCCTTTTCCCTCTTGCGCCAACCTGGTTTAAGATCGATGCCACTTGGATTATGTACAATTGTCGGTTGGCTGGCTCTAATTCCACTGAATCTCGGTCCAACACGGCTGGTCCTTCGAACGCCAGTACATCAGACGTGCCCACTCCGGAACAGGCTGGCCTCCTGTTGGGTTTGGGACTAAATGGTCATTTGAACAAACTCACTCCGCACGACATTGCAAAATATTCGGTCCGAGTGCACGACCTGCACAACATGGCAATGCTGCTGGGTATGTTCTCCTCTTGTTCTCGAACGCTACTCATGTGCATTTGAAACAGTTGTATCGTCATGCCCCTACCGTTCCCTTCCGGTCCACAGGTTTGTGTGCTGGCAAGCGAGGGCAAATGGATCAGTCTGTGCTTCGGCTGCTCGCACTTCATTACCGACCACTTCTACCATCCGATCCGTTGGTTCAGGTGCAACTAGCCGTTCCCACTCTGTGTCAAGCTGCAGCGGTATTTGGTCTTGGTCTGTTATATGAACGATCGGCACATCGTCACATTACCAACTTGCTTCTCACCGAGCTAGGTAGACCGTTGAGTGGGCCCGTCTTCTGTGGCATAGGCCGCAAAGCCTTTCAGCCGGACGGCGATGCATTGCCATCGACTTCCACGACATCGGGCAATGCGAATTCTGGAACTTTTGGTGACTGGTCCGGAGCGATTGGTTCAGGAGGCATGGCTGGTGATAGCTCTGAACTAATTGCTCTTTCAGCCGGTCTTGCTTTGGGTTTGGTTCTTTTAGGAGTGAGTACGACGCTTCATTTGTCAAAGTACTCATTTTGCTCTTCAATTTTCTTAACCCCTATTACTCCAGCTGCTTGCTAATTGTCATCAACGTATGTCTACTTTTGTTAACCATGTCATCAACCACCCGCTGATGGTACTCCATGAGCTTTTCTTCTTTTTTAGTCAGCCACTGTATAATGTATTCTAGCTCACCTACTTATCGTATGTCCTTAATTCGATTCCTTTGTTAGTCTGTCACTTTATGGGCTTCTTAAGTGTTTTCTCTGAAACTTGGCGCTCCATATAGCACTCCCCTTCGTGGTGCTCTGCATTTTACTCCCGTACACCACTACAATCGATGTTGACTTTATTTACCATCCCTTATATGATGCTTTAAAATCCCACTATTCTTTTTACTGCATTCGCTCTCTTCACTGGTCCTAACCATCTTGCTTACATTACTGATTTGTGTCAACAATCGTTCCGCGCTCTAAAGCCCCCGGTTACCTAGCTAATCCGGCTACATAGTGGTCAGGTCATCCGCCATCCATGGTAATTCCGCTTGCTCTCCCTTCATTGAGTGGAACATGTCACAGTCTTCCCTTTGCTACTGTACTATGCTTTTCAGTCTTCACACCTTCCGATATACCCTACTACTTCACGCATGCGTGTACCATTTGCTCAGCAGTCTCTTTCTTCTTGTTTTAACGTAGCGCGGGGATTCGCCTTGCGGACTATCCGATATCCCGTGGGCTGCGCAGCTGCACGCTTACATGACTGGTGCACCAAGGTTCACACAACTTCCAGTCCTGGAATTCAGTGGACGATCTCGTTCCGGGATTGCTGGGGAAAGATGTTTCCACGATCTTGTTGCGTCCGATCCAATAGCCCACCGCCCTGAGTCCTACAGATCTACCGTTGGTGTGCCCCATTGTCCTGCGACCGTAGGTAATGGTACTACAGATATGTCAGAAGATGGTTTACTTGAGCGTAACGCACGGCCGGATTCCGCATGGTTGACCAACTCCGTCCGTCTTAGAGAATTACTCTTTCTGGATGACGGCTTGTCCACGTTAGAGACTGATAATCGGATGGACAACGATTTCACGTTCTCTCCGAATGAATCATCCATCCGCAATGGTGGACCGTCTGGTGATCGTTCAAACCCCGTGCTAGTAGGCTCAACCATACCCACCTCCGTGGCGGATCGTTCCGATTTCACTGGCCGTCCAATCGATCGTCGATTACGCCCTGAGCTCGGAGGGTTCACTGTCGTGTCAAACAACCCACAAGTGGGGCACATGCACTGTACTCATTCTTGCACTGTCATTATAAGACTGCTTGAGGTGGTCATAGACATGCTCCTTTGTTTAACTCCTTTCCTTCTCCTTTCTCCGCTGCCTTCAGATCCGTGAACTCAATTGCTACAACCTCGATGTAAGCGCTCCAGGTGCCATTATGGCTCTCGGTATGGCTTACTTTGGTAGCGGGAGTCCTTTGATCACTTCTTGGCTTGCTCCACCCACGTCTCTGGTTCATTTGGACCTGATACGGCCAGATTTGCTGCTATTTCGGGCCCTATCTCATGCCCTGGTTAACTGGGACACAATCGTGCCAACTTCTGAGTGGATTCAGTCTTATTGCCCACCTGAGCTATTGGAGCGACTGAGTCATATCGCTGAGACCAAAGGAATGACGATTCCAACCATTCTGGACGAATTCACTGAACACGCGCAGTCAGATGTCATGCTGCCCGAATGGTCCAGTGAAGATGATGTGGAGAATCGATGTCCCGATTTGATTGCTCTCCCACGACATTCCGGAGCCAGACATCATACACGCACAACAAACCTGAGTTCGAACAATATGCCTCCACCTCAGACGCATCGAACGCGTCGATCGACTGCCAGCAGCAGGAGACAGCCAACGCAGTCTTTTGTCTCTCGTGGTTTCCGCTCTGCAAACACTCAGCTCGAGGCTGTTCGGCGTGCAAAACTGACCCGGGACGCACTTCGCTGGCAGGAACCATCTTTTTCAGCTTCCGCGAATCAAATAGATGAACATGCACTCTGGTAATCAGTCACTCAGCCAACTTAATTATGTTTTTGGACCGGTCACTGCTTTTGACTTTTGCTAATTGTGGTTCTCTCTACTCAGCGGTCATCTGATGATTCTGATGCATTCGATTTTACTATCACATTCTATCCACTGGGGTTCCACTGGACAAACCCATATTATCTGCTTACTCAACCGCTGTACGCTCAACTAGAATTTACGTCATTTATTGGACAGTAGTTTGGCAGTAAACGCCACTTGTGTTCTCAGTTTGTTTCAGTATTCGCCGTTTTGTGTAACTCAAATCGCTTAGCTCCTAATTTCCGCCTTTTAAGGGTCCGCTTTAAAACAACACTCACCCCAAATTAGCACCCTGGAAACATCGTAGTCGTATACCACCACATTATTGATACGTCAGTGGGTTTTTTGCGTTCAGGCTGTGTTGTTCTGGGTTGCCTCGTTCCCCAGTAGGCGGGTGCTACGCAATGCTAATCAGGCTACCTCCTTACAACAATATGGCACCGAATAAGTTGCGTTCGCTTGGGCATGTACTACGTATGCCCAGTCACCGCTTACCAAGAAGGGCCATGTTTTATCTGCCAGATGTAGGATGGCACATGGCTCGAGGTGGACAAAAGTTGACTTGGCAGTGGGAAATGTAGTCACTGATAAACGAACATAGTACCGTCAGTCCGTCGCGCATTCGAGGCCGGAGTCCATGTGGCTCTCCTTGTGCTTGACGTGAGACTTTACAGGACATGGCTCAAAGTTGACACCAGTGGCACATCTGCTACCGTCTCGTAATCGGATTGCCCGTTTAAGGTATATGTGGTGCTGAGTTATCTGTGGAGTAATAACTGATTATGACGCGGGGCAGTGAAAGCTGCATGGTAGCTGTCTCCCCGCTACCACCTTTTCCAGTTCTTTTGGACGGTGTAGGCACCTTGACCCTGAATGTTTGCTTAGGTCATTATGGTTCACCTCTCTTATTGTTCCTCGTTTTGTCGGTCACCGTGGTTGTACGGCAGCGAAACATCAATTGGCTCATGTACTGCTGTTGCTGATGATGAGTAGTGATCACTTCAGTTTTCGTTACTTTGGTACTGTTTTGAGCTCACTACCAAGACTCTTTTACCCTGTTGAACCGCTATCTACTCTATAACCAACACGCATTTGTTCAAGGTTTTATGTTTGCAGCTCTGCACATCATATAATATTGTTACTATTAACAGAGATACTATCACCAACATATGCTTACTCACGTGTCTTATTCTGTTTCAGTCTTGCTTATCTAAACATACTGATTGGCCGCTCTTTTGCCCTTGGTTTGCGTTACGCTGGCACTTGCAATGCAGGCGCAGCCAATACATTAGTAAGTTTGCGCCCTTGGGTCGGTGAAATGTTTATCTACGTTTAAGTGTTAGGATTTCATGTGAACAAAGCAGACCTTCAGCTGTGCTGCACAATCGTTTTAACTGTCTCTCTTCGCCGAACATGCTGAACATCTCTCCCTGCAGGTGACAGACCCCACTCTCCGATGCGGTCGACTATCGTCGATTAGTCAATACGCTTGTGGTGCGTTTTCTAGTGTATTTATCTTCTAGCTTCGTTTCACAGCATAAAATAAAGAAAGTCTTCCAACTGACTACATTAAGTGTTGGTGATGGTTTGCAAACCTCCTCTATCACGTTTCTATGCATTGCTGAATGCTTTGTGTGTACTTTGTTCACCTCTCTTCTCGAGACCCATGCCCTTTGAAATTCGTTACACCGTCGTGTAGCACTTGTATTTCTTGCGTATTATCATACCCATCTTATTCATTAGTAAATTATTTTTCTCCCCTCTCAATGTTTTGCACTGTTACTCATTCCTTCCGGTCTAATAAAGTTGGGAGTGCTGGCATTTTTCATCACAGGCACATGTGCTTGTAGCGACTGTGCTATGTAGAAATGCCGCACGGCCATATGTGCTACCCATACGTCTTGTCACCATATTGAACTTTTATCCTGAGCTCTATGAAGGTTAATGTAATTTCTCGTAATTTGAAAGTCACGAAACAGATTACGCATGTCGGAGACTATTCTGTCCTATTTGTATTTGGTTACTCCACAAACACGGTCACTGAGCAACCGTCTCAATCTTCCGGAATCAAGCTATTCCAACAGTCGTTAACCCGCTACTTGATGCTGAATGCATCCAAGAGCAAAGAGGTTTTGTTTCCATTCTATAAAGCAACTCGTTACCATAAACTTGTCATGCACTGTTCCAAACTTCAGATCGATGGTGACAGCTTGAGCTTCTCTTGTAATCACACCATTATCAGGCGACTTTCGTTTTACCTCGCTCGATTACGATCATTCTCCGTACCATACAAATTAATTCCGAACTTCATCACTGCATGCATTCTGCCACACTTGATGTATTGCTCTCAAGTGATTTGTCTAACTCTGTTGGTAAACATTACAAACTTTTTGATGGTTCGCTGACACACCTGTGGTATTTAAAAGCCAAGTCAAACTGCAACAATTGTATCCCCCCATTTCCAATTTTGCACAGTAATTGATTCGGTAATACTCACCGATATCAACCACTTTTCGCATAGTGCACTATCTAACTATACATCTACTTCATCGACCAGACGAAAGTTCCGAATATTATGTGTCCACACGCGGTCCTGCGGCTTGTCCTTCATTCCCCACCTTAATTGGTTTATGCTTGACCCGAACGATATCATACAAGAAGTAACCAGTAATTGAATGGAAAAAACCCATTGATTGATCAGAAATCTGTGTAAGCGAACATATGTTTTCGGTAATTCTTCATCAGGCTTGTACAATTACATGAAATGCAAACTTTTAGTATACAGAACCAACGGGTCGTCAATCAACCAAATTGAACTTAGTGCGCTGTGACACACCTTCGGTTAGGTTACAGTTGTATTCGCACGTACGAATACAACTGTAACCTAACCGAAGGTGTGTCACAGCGCACTAAGTTCAATTTGGTTGATTGACGACCCGTTGGTTCTGTATACTAAAAGTTAGCATTCCATGTAATTGTACAAGCCTGATGAAGAATTACCGAAAACATATGTTCGCTTACACAGATTTCTAACCAGTAATTATTTGGAATATCTGTAGCCCACAGTGTGGATGAGACGGTTATTGTGTTCTCCGAGCTGGGAGCCAAAATTGCCCAACTACTAAGGGGGCACAACAACTCTGTCACTAACCAGTAACTTTTTACCGCATGGTTGCGTTACTCATTGATTGGACTCTTCCTTTTGCTGCTGCTGTTTTACTGTCACTGCATTGTTCGTTTTTTTTCACCTTGTCACGTACATTTGCTTTGGCATTAAAGCGCATTCTTGACTTGTCTTCACTTAATTGCCTGTTGTACTTTAACCCCACTGTTACTATTTTGGCCCTCGGATTTTACCATACGTTAGTCGAGATATTCACCTGTATGCAAAGCACAACTTTACAGTATTGTGACTGGATTATCGGAACCACATCAGGGAACAATGTGTGATACGTTTCGGTATCAGGACTTTGCGATTTTTGCTGTTTTCACTGATTGTGTTCCGTTTCCCGTTGGTTTCACCTTTTCCCCACAGCTGGTAGACTATGTCCTAAACGCCATTTGTGCTTACACTCCAGTATCCGTACATCAAATAGACAAAGCCGCCTGCCTATTGGCTCTTTACTTCGTACCTTCATTTACCGTTACTATGTAATTTCGCCTCAATAATCTCACCGACTGTTGCCCGTTCTATAACGAGATCGGCTCCTGTGCTCCGATCGTGCATTCTTTGGGTGTTACGACGCGCTCGCTCACTCTGTCCATTTTTCTTCCCAACCCATGGTTACATGCACTCTCAATACCGAGGTCGACTCTCCCATTCTCAGTTTTATCTTGTTCTCTCCGCCTCTACCAGCTTAGTGTACTTCATTCTATCCTTCTGGATTCCTGGTGGCCTCCAACCAAAGATCCCCAGCACTCCCATGGGGCTGGTCCGTCTCGTCTTCATTTACCTAAGCCGACATTGGAGACTGCCGCAGCCTATTGTCTTCTCTCATTGGCTATGGTAATGGCTGGTTCTGGGAATCTGGTCGTCCTACGCTTGATTAGGCAGTTGCGAGCAATTCGCATGTTCCGAGCTAAGGACGCGGAGACCGAGTCCGCTGCTACCAATTGGCCTCCCGTCAGCAACGACGGCAATAGCCCCAACTCCCTACTTGCTGCCTGTGCTCAGTTCACAGCCAACCCACGACTACATTATTTGGCTTTGCTTGCCGCGCGTCAGATCGTATTCCAGCAAACTGGATCGGAGTCTAATGCATCCAGCGGACTCCCAAACGGGCCAGTTTCTGTGTCTGCAGTGTTCGGCGCGGCCCTGGGTCCCACGTTTGGAGTCCAAATGCTCTACGGCTGTGCTGCGGGCCTATTATTTCTCGGTGGCGGCCGGTATGTCATCGCTATAATGCCATTTCGGTTGTTTTCTTTCAACTTTACCGTAATTCTTAATGTATTTAGTTATTCATAACCTCCAGTGTTTCATACCGTATTTTGAACAACTGATTGACGGTTGTTTTTCCATCAGAATGCTCGTCACTCGGTTACCCGCATGGGGATGGATAATATGCCCTAACCCTCTTTATTTCATCCACGATTGCCCACTTTTCCGCACCTTTGGAAATCGCTGGTTAAATGACCCATCTGACAATGTTACAGACGCTATCATTGAAAATTTTGGCATGGGCCTTCGCGGCTTCAACGCGTATTCGTTTCTAGTACAGAGATGTCCAATTTCTGCAGATTATTTGCCTGTCTTGCCTTCTTTAATTCGTGTGCAACCGATTAAGTGCCGCATTTTGCGGCTTCACCCAATGGGGCCGGTATCAATGACAAAGCTTACCTATTGGAAGTTACTTTCCATGAGATTTTTGTCGGCTAGTTTTGTTTCGCCTTGTATTTTTTTACAACTGTACATCTGAGCTTCGCAACGTTAGTTTCTGAACACCGTAAATGTAGTGTTCTTTTACAAACCTTACCGTCTTCTGTCACTTTACTATGCAAACTCACCGAGGAATTTGCAGACGTGCCATTATTTTCCTCTAGGTCTTGTTCCTTCTTCGGTCATTGCTAGCTGCCACCTTCCATTATATGGTGAAATTGGGTGAGAGCGCTTTGGCGACTTGCATCGATGGCCTTCACATCACCTTGCCTTCTATTGGATGACTATTTCTCTACACATCGCAACTTGTTGACTCGTAGTCATTTCGGGTATTCTCGCCTCTTTCGCAGTGAATTTCTGATTTTCTCTACATCTGTAACCCTATTTTTGTATTCTTGCTGTGTCAGCTGTTCCCATTTTCCTTATGAGCAAGGATGATTCCACTCAAAAGTATCCTCATCCTCTTTTGCCCATGGCTATCGTTGTCTGTTGGCACACAATGGAACTCATCTTGACCTTTGTGATACCATTCTCTTGTTTCGCTATGGCCCCCATAATCTCACCCATCTCTTTTCAGGCTTACATTGTCAAACAGCCCCCAAGCAGCCGCAATCCTAACAATTGCTTTCCTGCCCATTCTGCCCACTTATCCTGGTGACAACTGGTAAGCTATCATGCTGTGCTGTCAGTGCGACCATTTGTTCACTCACTTTTCTCTTTCTTTTGCTAACCCGGCATGGTTTGCTAATGGTCCGTTGTTTACGGTTTTCGGCCATCACTTCACTACTGATAAATTCAACAGTAGTATTTTGTATGCAATCGGCTCAGCAACTCTTTATTGTAATGAATTATCGGGACTTTCGCCGTCACCGATTCTTAACTCTAAATCTGTCATGTTCTTTCGAAGCGTTACTCATGTGCGCAAGCGTGAAGATGGCCACTTATCGTTCAACAACAAAAACCCAACATTGCATTGCTACCAACGTCACTGCATAGAACACAGATGGCCTTCTAGCGTTGAAGACGTTAATTTACCACTCACATCTTACCAGCAGTACCTAGAAATCACCGGCTAGTCCTGTTATTTGTCATTATGGACTTGGCAACATGCCATGTGGTCCTACTCTGTACCCTGTGATGAACATGTGCTATTAGCACTGCGTCTCTCACAATCATGTTCTCACCTTCACCATCGTTGAGTCCTCTACTGGTTTGGTTGTTAGCACACACATGATACGATGCATCCCCATGCACACTCACTGGCTGAGCGGTGATGTGGCTAAGAATTTTGATACGGCTGACTGAATAACACACACAGCCACACTGATGTTTTTGCATTCATCGATGAAATCGGTCAGCTCAGTAGTAATTTGGCATGTGGGATTCAGTCCCTTGCTTCCCGTTCATCCTGACCTTTGTATAAGTTCACTATCTCTCCCATCCTCTTCATCGCTCTTAATTTCTGAATGTACAAAATTACCAATCAGAACAGCCGCATCCACTACGGTTAGGAGAGCACACAGCATAAAAACCTGAAGCAAATCTGTCAAAACATGTTTTGAGTTTGACTTGAATTTGGATCCTGTGATAGATCTGCAGTGTCGCTGCCATGTCGGTTTTGTTCACTTTATTGACTTAAATTGTAAGTAACTATTTTGAATTCGGTGTGTGGCTGGAAAAAATGCTCTAAACTCACACTGAACTTTCTTAATTTCGATACTTGAATGCCGCGCTCGCTTGTGTTCAAAGTCTATCATGTTTTGTATAGTTAGTAAGGTCGCGGTCTGTTTCACCATGTCGGAATCATGAGCCAAGAACGTGATACAGAGACACACTATCAGGAATAACAGTGCCACCTGAAACACCCTTTACAATTGTGAATACTAAGACGGTCAGAGCAGTGGTCACTCATTTGCACTATGCCCTGTGATTGGCAGAGTGCCACAGCTGGAACGCATGATCACTTCCGAAGTGTGCTTCGGCAATTTCCCTAATCAGTGGCTGCGTTGCTTGAAATATCGTTTGTTCGAGTGCACTCAGTGATTCGTTTCACGGAATTATAAGTGCATATATCAAAGGAATGTAAAAGTTTAGGGCATTTGGCGTAAACGTGGCCATTCTTCACGCAACCTAGACATCAAGTCTGAACCCACTCTCTGGATGCTGGACGACGTGTTCTGGCTTGAATTTTTCATAAGGGCTATCGACTTCCGTGTACACATCCAGCTGGTAGTCATCGACGCTTTTGTTTCCTTGGGCGGCAGCTTTTTGTCTTCCATTCTATATCTTTTTTCCATCCCATCTCTTAGTTACCATCTGCAGGCACTCAGGCATCTGTACGTGCTTGCCACGCGACCAAGGCGGTTGTGTGCTGTGGATGTGGACACCGGTCGCGTTGTGTTGTCTGACATGCTGGCCAAGTTACGGGTGAGTGCACGATGAAGGGGGCATCTGTCACATACTGAACGCCGATTCCATGCTCATTTTTAACACTTCTTTTGTATTCTTTATATTACACATAGGGCAAGGATGATTACGTTTCCTCTAAAGACACTGCCATTTTCCCGGTCAATCAACTCGACGATCTGGATTGGGTAAGTGATCAGTAACGGAGTTGAATAAATTCAGTGGCTAAATGATGCGTCCATCTTTCGCTTTTATCAAATCATCAACCTCAATTTGAATGGACGAAATGCGCCTCTGCCACGTCGGGTCGTCTGCGATCCTCATGTCCCAATCGGTCACTTCGGGCAGTGCATCACCAGAAAGCCTGTTATGGTCACTTGTATACGTGCTTCCGTGCATCAATTCCTCGGTCTGCTTGATCTGTGACTCACAAAGTCTACTGCAATCTTTCTAATGCTCAGTGCCATCGTGTAGTATGTGCGACATTATCTACTTCAAGTATGGCCCAGCTTCGGTGCAACCGGTCAAACCAATGTTCGAATATGCCTGGACCCGACGTGGCAATTCTGATAACTTTTCCGACTATTTCACTCAAAAGGACACGAAGTAAACGGTTCCGAAAGATAGATGCACCGATACAGAGGGTGGGCGTGCTAAAAGTTCATTATGAGTAGATTAGTACATGCATGATAAAGTTCCCTCAAATCTGGCTACCACCTTAAATATCTTATTAGTGGCGTGTCCCAATGTAACATTATGGCTGTTGCTCTTCCACGGCGCTCATTTTCATTGAGATATCTTTTGATTTTCTCCAACCACCGGAGATCATTTATTATACTCGGCATGTGGTGTTGCCCATATCGTACACTGTTACTAGAAGTTGCTGGGCATTCATTAGAGCAGCACTTTACCACCTTTGATACTATCTACTTTTGCGACCGTGGATAGAATAGTCTTTGTGCTCAGAGGATCGTCCAATTCCCCGAGCCGAGCATTCTGTTGCAGACGTTTCGTTACCAAACTAGGCAACATCTTCAGTGCGGCTATTCAGTCCTGATTCGCGGAGTCTCGCAAACCAATGCCAGATCCGAATGACTATTGATTGTTGCCTGCTTCGAATGTCAGCCTTCGATCGGTTCACGTGAGTCGGCCGAGTGGGCACGTCTTCTCCTTGTCGATCTAGTGCCTATTGCTGGCTTAACCTGCAGAGCTTCGTAGACACCCTCCAGCTCCAGGTGTTTGTTGATTGAGTTCCGGCCAGAATGCCAGGCCTCGAGGAACTCACGCGCTCTGTGGCTTCTTGCTCTTCCAAATATTTCAACGTTCTCCAGATCGAACTGATGGTTCTCGGCATCCATGTGTACTGACATTAAGGATTTCTCACCGTGGCGGCGGATGGCCAGACTATGTTAGTGCAGTCTTGTGCCAAGTTTTCTTCCAGTCTGGCCTACATAGTACTTGTCACAGTTCTTGCAGGAAATTTTGTAAACTACACCCGATGTTTCTTTCTTAGACAGTTTGTCCTTCATCTTAATAAGTTTACTTCGTATGGTTTCCGTTGCTTCATGTGCAACAGTTATCCCGCGAGGCATTAGACGCCTCGTTGCCATTTCAGACATCTCATGGATGTAAGGTAGGAGAATCGTTCTTCTTTCTGTTGCTCATGTGGACGCGGATTGTGACTGGTTCTTTGACATCAGGCAGCGTAGAATAAAAGTTCTAGGGTAGGAATTTCGCTGAAACATGCTAAATAGGTGGTCCTCCGCCTCCCTCAGTTGCGGCGTGTTACAATGTGTCTGGGCCCGTTTGAAAAGCGTCCTCACTCAACTTCGCTTGTATATGGTCGGATGGTTACTGCGATAGTTTAAGATCCGATCGGTGTGGGTCGCTTTCCGAGAAACTGTTGTTTCCAGTGACCCAGAAGCATTTCTTCTCACGAGCACGTCCAAGAGTGGCAACTGATCATTGTTCTCTTCCTCTGGTGAAATGGATGCCGGAAAAAATATTGTTGATTAGTTGATGTGTTTCTCATAGTCTGGAGCGTTTGAGGATGACAAAAGTATCGTCTAAGTAACGTACCCAAAGTTTAGGCTCCACTACTGGCAATGCCTTCTGTTCCAAGCTTTGCATCACTGCTTCCGCTACCAGTCCAGAGATTGGTGATCCCATTGGCGTACCCGTTATCTATTTGTACATTTGACCGTTGAAGTGAAATGTGTGGTGAGACAGAAATCAAGCAACTCCATCATTTGTGTGGCTTCAATTCGGTTGCTGGTATTTACCGCTCCGTGTTGTTCGAAGCAGAGTCCTCATTGTTTGCCTCGCCAGCGTCGTGTCAATTTATGTGTACAAAGCTGTAACTTCATAGGAGACCATTATCTCGTCTCTTTCTATTGATATTCCCTTAAGTTTTTCAAGGAATTGTTCTGCCGATTGAATTGAGTGCTCTGAGCCTGCGATTAGGTATTTCAACCGTTTCCAAAGTTCTTTAGACAGCTTGTAATTGGTTGCCTCGGGTAATGACACGATAGGGCGAAGCGGTACCCTATTTTTGTATATTTTAGATAGGCCGTAGAACTGTGGTAGCACTGAACCCTCCTGTTTCATCTTACTGTGTTCTAACTTCGTGATCTGTCCCATTTGTTTCAGTCTTTGAAGAGTTTTGTTGATTTTGCTTTCCAGACGTTTTGTAGGGTCTTCACTTATCGGCTGGTAGGTGTTCACATCTCCGAGAAGTTCTTGTGCTTTCTTCATGTAGTCAGTTTTGTCCATTATTGCAGTAAGACGTCGCTTGTCGGCCGGTAATATAACATTAGTCTTGTTTTTTCTGAGGTTTGTCAGTGCCTTTCGTTCGCTTACACTGAATATGTTGGTTTCCACTTTGTGACTCAGAGCGGGGTTGATGCTGTGTCTGATTGCATGTTGGGCTTCAGTTGTGATGTTTGATGTGGTCAACGTTGATTCAAGTGCGGCAAGGAAGATAACGGGTACGCCAATGGGATCGCCAATCTCTGGACTGGTAGCGGAAGCAGTGATGCAAAGCTTGGAACAGAAGGCATTGCCAGTAGTGGAGCCTAAACTTTGGGCACGTTACTTAGACGATACTTTTGTCATCCGCAAACGCTCCAGACTATGAGAAACACATCAACTAACCAACAATATTTTTTCCGGCATCCATTTCACCGGAGGAAGAGAACAATGATCAGTTGCCACTCTTGGACGTGCTCGTGAGAAGAAATGCTTCTGGGTCACTGGAAACAACAGTTTCTCGGAAAGCGACCCACACCGATCGGATCTTAAACTATCGCAGTAACCATCCGACCATATACAAGCGAAGTTGAGTGAGGACGCTTTTCAAACGGGTCCATACACATTGTAACACGCCGCAACTGAGGAAGGCGGAGAACCACCTATTTAGCATGTTTCAGCGAAATTCCTACCCTAGAACTTTTATTCTACGCTGCCTGATGTCAAAGAGCCAGTCACAATCCGCGTCCACATGAGCAACAGAAAGAAGAACGATTCTCCTACCTTACATCCATGAGATGTCTGAAATGGCAGCGAGGCGTCTAATGCCTCGCGGGATAACTGTTGCACATGAAGCAACGGAAACCATACGAAGTAAACTTATTAAGATGAAGGACAAACTGTCTAAGAAAGAAACATCGGGTGTAGTTTACAAAATTTCCTGCAAGAACTGTGACAAGTACTATGTAGGCCAGACTGGAAGAAAACTTGGCACAAGACTGCACTAACATAGTCTGGCCATCCGTCACCACGGTGAGAAATCCTTAATGTCGGTACACATGGATGCTGAGAACCATCAGTTCGATCTGGAGAACGTTGAAATATTTGGAAGAGCAAGAAGCCACAGAGCGCGTGAGTTCCTCGAGGCCTGGCATTCTGGCCGGAACTCAATCAACAAACACCTGGAGCTGGAGGGTGTCTATGAAGCTCTGCAGGTTAAGCCAGCAATAGGCACCGGATCGACAAGCGGAAGACGTGCCCACTCGGCCGACTCACGTGAACCGATCGAAGGCTGACATTCGAAGCAGGCAACAATCAAGAGTCATTTGGATCTGGCATTGGTTTGCGACAATCCGCGAATCAGGACTGAATAGCCGCACTGAAGATGTTTCCTAGTTTGGTAACGAAACGTCTGCAACAGAATGCTCGGCTCGAGGAACTGGAGAATCCTCTCTTCCATACCCCGAGCTACAGGTATTCTCAATTGTCCTTGTGCCATTTATTTTATACAAACAGATTCATTGGTGAAGTAGAACGCTGCCATCCCCTTCACCAACTTCTGCTATGAGTTGATTGTAACTTTGTGTTCAGGGCTTCGCCCATAGTGCTTCCTACCCCCTGCCATTTTTCAGCTGGAGATGAATCATGGCTCTGAGGATTATTGGCCTACAGTCTTCCTGAATGGAACCATCAATTGGTCCCAACTGAAGTAGGTTTCAACCTGGACCCTATCTTTTATCGACTTTTGTATTTATGACGTTTATCTTATTCATCTCTCTTGTTGATTTCTCACTGGGTGGTAATTACCATCGTTCCAAAATTCCACGTTCGACCGCACTGTGCGTGCTACCTGCCATCGTCACTTGAAGTTCCTTCATTACTTGAGACCCATGGAATTAGTAGCCTCTGTTGAGCTGATTTAAGTTATACTGGAACGATCGAACACTAAGTATACGGTCAATTTACGGATGTTCTCTTCCCAGACACGTTAATATTCGTGTGCTTCAGGGAAGGATACTGAACCATTGCTTTTACTAATTTACCTAAACAACAAACGGCATGGACTACAAAGTTGTGCGCTCATTTCAGCCTAATCACCTCGAGCCGCAATTGAAAAACATTTGATTGTCAAATTTTCTAGTACCCGCCGTGTGTCTTGGATTGCCACATGCATTCTCCATTGTGGCCATGACTGGCTTTGAAATTATCCTCTGCCATTCCTATCACTGGGACCGTCACCGAGATGGAGGGTTTCGGTGTGGCTCTCTCCCATCACTGCACTCCACGACGCGTTTCTCCCCGGTTTGGACTCCTCAGGTAGAAATGGTCTGAATTGGGAGTGGAACTCGACACGGTGCTTGGTGGCTGTCGCCACGATCGCTAGGTCATTGAGCTCCGATAGCATGGCTTTACACCGCGGTTGGAAGTATATTTTCGGGTTTTGGAGCACCAACAGTGTATTTTGGTTTGTGACATAATCTCACTTCTGGCCTCGGTTGAGTTTGAAGTCAGCCTGTGTCATTCCGATCAGTGGGACCGTCGCTGAAGTGGAGGGTTTCGGTGTGGCTTTCTGCCATCCCTGCACTTCACGACCGACGGTTTCGTTCTTGTTTGGACGTGTTCATCTGTTAGAAATCTGTGAGAATATTTGTAGCTCGGGATGCGGATGACGGTGTGCGGGTGTTCTCAGAGCTGGCTGATCTGGCTGCAAACATTTCATCGTCAGGTTTGACGATATCATCAGTGCGATTTATGCGGGCCACTTACAGATCCAAGTGATTATTGATCACTTAATTCGAATGTCAGGAGTCGATGGGTCTATGTGAGCTGACCGTGTAGTCAGCTCTTGTGTACTGTTGACTAGAGTCCGCCTCAATGACGTTCATTTGTCCTGTTGATCTGGGGCAGAGTATTCTTTTGACCCTCAGTGCTTCATAGGCAGTATCTACACCATTTCCCGGCCAAGTTGCTCTCTTGGGCAGCAGAAATAATCTGAGGGGGCATTCAACATGAGTCTACTCAATTAATTTGTTCCGTGCATAAGAGCTGAAGCGTCCCACCTGCACCCCTATGACTTAGTGCGTCTGAGGTCTAATTGGCTGAAGGCGACGGGCTATACAGGCACACCTGCACAAGTGCCTGGCCTACGCACGGTATTCTCAATAATTTCCAAACCTCAGGTAACCTGGCCACACATGTTGCATACCACATGGCTGCATCATTGTTCCGAGTGCCTCCATTGAGACTTTAAGATTCGATATTCGACCTTTCTGAACTTACAAACACCATTTAGCGAAGCGAAACAACAAACAGGATACATCATTCATCATCATCCTTACACGTTATCTGCAGGCGGGAAACACCTCAGCTATTATGCCGCAATATAAAAGACAAGAAAAGGAAAACAAACAGTGGCACGCCCGCTGAGTTTCCAGTAACGGATGGACATCGTTCCGGATAGCTAACAGCTGGCTGCCGTAAAAAAGAGTCATATTATGCCTAAAAAGTGAGATCGTGATTCTAGATGGATGCTAAACAGGAGGGGAATGGACAAAGAAACTCACAACATAAACGCCATTGGGGTCGGCTCCAAGCCATATTAGCAAGTGTGTCCAACCAAACGGGTTCACCGTCCTTAGGACCCCAGCCAGGCAGTCGGGATGCACCAACTGACGCCAACTTCGAAGTGAGGGTTTTCATTTCTCTCGACCAAGTCATCGCTGCGCCTCCCCTTCTCCTCTTCCAACCGCACCCACAACACGCAAACGATGCACGTCGCGGGAGTCGGTGTGCTGACATGCGCAACACGTGACCCAGCCATCGGAGCCTGGCGCGTGATATAGTGGTGCTGAGCGGTTCACTCGCTCTTCCTGCACCAACTACAGGACGTCGAACACGCTCTTTGGATACATCATTAGACCATTTTGTTATGAAACTAGCATCATCCATCCCATAATGCGACCTACACACTGACGAGTGTGTGTTGCGTCATCATCATCCACAGCCATCCACGCAGAACGGAAACAATCGCTCTGCTAAACATCCAACATTCAACCACCAAAATGAGCCCGGACACTCATCAGCACTTACTTACAGTGAACGATGAAGACACATCTTAGACTTGCTCACCGCTACAATACTATGTGTTCGCGAGTACTCACAATTGACAAATTCTTCATGCTACCAATTGGCTCAACCCATTCCATTTCATATTACCACAAAAGGCTAAAACAGGCATACGCTTGAATATTTCCCTTGCAAGCTACGCTTTTCTATGCATTTAACAACCACTGTTGCTCTACAAGTTGCGCTACTTTTGGTCATGTTATTAGTAATTACATCGATGTATATGTATATATACCCCTAATGTGCCTCATGTAGCGTTTGATGTCGCCCATATCGTGCTTCTTCACCGCAGTTTGGTTATGCCGACTTACACTTAAACTAGGTCTTCTTAGCCTTATTTGATTAGCTCAACTATGTTACTCTGCTGCATATTTCCTTCAAATTCAGTGTTTGTTGTTTGTTATCCCCTGTGTGCCTGCGCTTGATGTGAATGTTGCCAAGGTGCCTACCTGTCGAAAACCGCAACCTCGAATATACTGGCCCCAGGAAACAGTTGGTCGTTGCTGGATGGGACGGGATGCACAGTCCTGGTGACCGTGGTTGCCTCTAGTGTGGAACGTCCTCCTGCCCATCCACCGCCTTGCGTACGCTTGTTAAGCATGATTCCCTAATAAGATGGACAGGAATGCTGCTGTTGGGCATGTCAAAGGAGTGTGAACCGTCTCCGTTAATGAGACGTGACTTCCATCCACATGCCTCCCGGGCTCATTCCTCCGGGTTTAAAATGGATATGGGGTGTGCGGATGGAGATTCAGAGCAAGCCACCTATGGTCCCTGTGTAGGCGCAGGTGTCCTGTAGCCGCAATGTCAGGTAAATCCGGAACCGGATGCCGCCAACCATATGTACCAAGAGGAAGCGGGAAATTCTCTGCGTCTAAATTATATATGTATTTAACACTTGCCCACTAAACATTTGGCAGAGTGCCACAACACATGAGTAACAATGACAAAAAGCGAGAGTGAGTAAGAGGACTGGGAGCAAAGTTCCCGGTTGCCCAGGACGTCTAAAATGCACCAACCAATGTTTCTTTGATTACCAATGCTGTCGGTCTTTGGCATTTTATGAGTGCACTTTCGGAATTCGGTCCAACTTACCTATGATGCAATTTACGCTTTCCTGTCTTTTGGTTGCTACACAAAGCTCGGGCTTTATTGCTCCATGTATACCTCGAAGTTCATTTTTACGACGATAGGGAATCTTATTATTATTATTATTATCTTATTATTATTATTATTATTATTATTATTGACATCTGAGGAGCAGACTTGGTCCCTTACTACCAAGAAATGGTCAAGCGTTCGAATATTATCTCAAACCGAATGGATCATAAAACTCACCCAGATTTTCGATACACGAATCTGTACAAATGATCGTTTCCTTATTATAAACGTTTCCTGCCTTTCGGGAAGTATACCCATTTATCTCTCTTGTTGTCTTTTTCCGCGATCTTTGTGAGGTTATTCATCATCACCCATCATTCTGCATATTATCTGGGAGTGAGAAACACCCCAGCTGTTGTGCCGCAATGCAATTCGATTAGGTCACAGCAAAAAAAGAAATAGGGAAACAAAACAAACATAGCTGTGCCTGGACGACGATTCGAATTAAGGTGACTATTAGTCTACTCGATCACTGGGACCGTAACAGATGTAGCCGATGGAAATTGAGTGCTGCCCACCCGCAAACAAACATTACTATGCTTTGTGTCATGTCATGCATTGACAGCGATATCATGCTTGTAGGAAGAGGCGAAGTGGGATTAGGTGGGAAAAAAATCATAGCACAGACGCTACGGGTCGGCTCCTAGCAATGTCACCAAGTGTATCCAGCCAAACGTTTTCATCGCCTTTCGGATTCCAACCAGGAAGTGGAGGAGCTCCAACCGAGTTCAACCTGGCGGTGAGGGGCCTCATTCCTCTGGACCAAGGTGTCCATTGGTCCCCCATCCAGATCTTGGTCACGCAAACAACACGTATCGCGACAATCTATGTGCTGGCATGCGTAACGCGGACCAGTCATTGGAGCCAATGGGCTGTTCACTTGCTAATTCTCTGTAATTGTTCGTTGACGGTATCTGGAGTGCAGATACTTCTCGCCCTGAAAGCGCGAGATTGGAGTAAACTCCTCTTTTGTCGTAAGGGTATTGCGCTCCGCAACTTATTATACTGCCCAGTCTTTGTATGCTTTATGTGAACCTTTTTACTACATGATCCATTCGAGTTACAGATAACCTCTGCATCCAGGAAAAGTAATCAGTTTCCGGATTCGTGTTCACAGGTGAAGCGCACATTCCTAATAAGATTATCAGAAGACGAAGATTGTGGGATGGCGTTGTCATTTCATGCATACTCCTCAAGCACTATACAAACAACTAAAAGGGAATGCAGAAGTAAGGCCACATGAAATCAAGTATAGATATGTTTTCCGATTGGTGCGTTGCACGCTACTACGGTAAGCTTAATGTCACTGAGCTGTTTTTGGACACACTGTGGGGGGGGGGGCGCTGTCGATGGATCACAATGGCCTCGAGTAGCTTGAGCATGTGAGGCCTTTGCCTGCGCATGAGGACTCATCTGGGTTCA